CGAAATTCAAACAAAAACAAACTACAGAAAAACATAGATAAAATAATTAACATCTTGAATATTACGGTGAAACCGTGATTACCCATAATAAATAACATTTAACTGATTATTTCACAGGGCAACAAGGTATAGAAAATTTGTTGTTGTTGTTGTTTACGAGTAAAAGAGCTATGAATATAAGTTTGAGAGATATTCAAATTTAATGAAAGTTTTGTAAACTTTAATTAAAATAGCAATGTATGGCTAACAAGTATTTTAAATAGTATTTACATTACATCTATAATCAGGATGTCCGGAAAGTATGTGACACATTTACAAATTTAAACCGTGGTAATGGTCCAGATGACTCATGAACAGTGAAAAAGGACGTTGAAATGTACACGATGCAATAACCTCTGATCAATCTTATCACAGATCGAGGACTGTTGTATAATACGTTTTGCTTATTTTTCTTAAGCACAGAATGAATCTGAATTAGAAACTGACTGTTTTCTGTCAAAAAATATACTAGAATAACAGTAAGAAAACTCTTCTGTTTTTTATTAATGATCTTTTTAGCGAGGGGAAAGGATCACATAAAGATTATGTTATTAAGGCTAAGAGAAAACACAAAGGATTATTATATCATCTTTTGATTTTATGGATTAATGGATTAGCGAGTTAATTCATTTGTTGGAGCTATCTAATCCAGTCTTCGCTTCTTTTTTAGAGCGAAGGACTGGACGACAGAACTAAGAGGGTGCAGATGGAAAAACTAATGCGAGAAGAGCTGCAACGCTGGGATTCTCATGCATCTCTAAAAACTCCTGTAAGTTTGATCCTAGATTACGTTTCGTGCTAATATACAGTTTCGAAACAGGTCAAACAGTATGTTAGCTATGTGTTTTTTATAGAAAATATTTCTACTTGAAGACATATAAAAATATAGGTGTATATATGTATACAGGGTGTCCCAGAAGTCTGGACCCATAGGGGAAAATACACAATGTATTATTAATTTATTTATTATTCAAATTGCGTGCCATTAACAGCAATACGCGTATCAATTCTTGGTATAATGTACCATTAGGGTATTTTGTTCGTGAACTATGTACAACTGACATTAGAAATGTGTTTGTTGAACTCAAAGAATATAATGTCTATTTTCCCTATGGGTCCAGGCTTCTGGGACACCTTGTATACTGGACGATAGTTTGTTAAAATTGAGGGTCCCTGCACAGTTTTTGGAAAACGTACACTTAGTATTTATAATTGATTAATTACATACTATAGTCTGTCAGGTAATTTCAAAACGCGTTACATCATAACTACGTTCTCGCTTCTTTACAAATCATACTAGGATTGCTATGTTTGTCAGGTCATTTCAAAACGCGTTACATCATAACTACGTTCTCGTCTCTTTACAAATCATACTAGGATTGCTATGTTTGTCAGGTCATTTCAAAACGAGTTACATCATAACTACGTTCTCGTCTCTTTACAAATCATACTAGGATTGCTATGTTTTAAAAAGACGAGAACGTAGTTATGATGTAACTCGTTTTGAAATGACCTGACAAAACTTGAACGTTGAATGTTTTAATTTAATATGCTGTATTTTAATATTGACTTTAATAACAGGTATAAGCCTGTTTTTGCATTTACAAATACTGTGGTTGTAAAAAATAAATGCTCACACGTCGTGATATCAGTTGTATAAGAATTACTTATTGATAAAATAAACTACGCTATTCACTTTCTTAGTAAAATAAATTCAATCTCAAGTTTCTAGTAACAGATGGTACACTACGATTGGATTTAACAACTTAGTCTGTATAAAAATCAAAATATATTTAAATGTTGCGTTATGACATCCAATTGCTGCATTAAGTTTTTTTAAACGGAAAGAACAACTTAATTTTGGATCATACATATGAAAAGTATGTGAAATTTTTGCACTCTTTACATCATAAGACAGTTTAGGATACAAGAATCTCAAACAGGTGGTTTTTACTAGGAAAAGGAATATCTTCATGCACAAATAAAGCATCTTCATCTTGGTCAGTCGTGGTTCAAAGAGCGCTATGTTGTTACTTATTGTGCTTACTCTGAAACAAATTCAGAAATGATTATTATAGGATGCTGAATTTGTCGATAACTAAGAATGTCAAATAAATAACTGATTTTTAAAACATTTGAAATTTACTTGTACATATTTCTAAAAATATATATATTATCTATTCTTAAAATATTACATAGCAACCCTAGTATGATTTGTAAAGAGACGAGAACGTAGTTATGATGTAACGCGTTTTGAAATGACCTGACAGACATAGCAATCCTCGTATGATTTGCTTCACCTTGTGGGAGAGCTTATGATCTGGATTTTATGTGCCATTGTTTTAAGGTGAAAGTGGAATCCAAATATTTTAAACTGTGATCTCGTTAACGTCTGCCTTACTTATTCTAATATATCTTCATCTGTGTAATAAAGAAAATGTTCGTGCTGCTCTATACAGACTTACAATTTTTCCTACACCTTCTCTGAATTTAACTATTACTTTTATACACGCGTGGATTGGAAAGATTTTCTATCCCACTACGTTGCCTCCACATAGCTATGCTCAACATTTTCTGCTTGATTTCAGTGTTTTAGACTTGGTAAAACCAAATGTACATAGAGTATACAATTCACCAATACTGAAAAATTAATCTACTTTCCGTGTAAGAAAGTGTAAACAAACCCGAGCAATAACAATACGAAACAGCAACAAATACATGTATAACAAAATCCACGTAATCCAGATGATAATGTGGAGAGGTATAACAAAATCCATGTAATCCAGGTGATAATGTGAAGATGTATAACAAAATCCACGTAATCCAGATGATAATGTGAAGATGTGTAACAAAATCCATGTAATCCAGATGATAAGGTGAAGATTTACACCAAATCCATCCATCACACTTGAGATATATGAGCTAAAAATGTATATTATTAAGAACTCATCAAAGAAAATAGTCTGGTGTTTCATGTATGATCAATCGATACTTGGCTTCTTACATTAAAAATTCTTATAATATAGATGAGTCGTACTTTCTAGTCACTCTAAATCCTCGAAACCTGTTACAAAATGCCCTTTTTATACTTTACATCAATTAATTAACTATAACCTCTTCGTTTATTAATTTGTTTTTTTAATATTTCATACAAAACTTACTTAACTAAAAACACGAGATGACATGCAAAATTTATTATTTATTATAACTAAAATCAGTACTTGTGTAACTACCCATATTTAGTTGAAAACATTTTATGAAAAAGTGAAGGGTTGTTATTTTTAGAAACAAAAATATTTTACCCTCCTTATTCCTAAATTTAAGAAATCGTAGAAAACCATGTCTTTTGTCGTTAAAAAGCTGTTTCCTGAAGAGTAAACTAAAAAAAGACTGTTCGGATATTTTATACTGCAATGCTAATGAATAGTTTTCATATTTGATTCACTTTATACACTAAAACTGACGAAATGACAGCTTTACATTGCCGTGTGTACAACGTTGTGTTAAACTGCTTTTGTCACTCTTTTTATGTGTGTTTTATTCCTATCGAAGTGTAATCACCAAAAGTTTTTCTGTGTTTTAATAGTCATTCAGAGATAATATAATGTCTTTGTTTCTTTAATAAACGTATTTTTATTCCTCTCGAATATTTATTTTTTAAATATATTTCTTGGGTGAACAAAAAAAAAAAATAAGAAAATGTTTTTGATTTGTAACTCATTAGTTCTGTTGACGTTATAATTTAAGATTTATTCTACGTTAAAATTGACATTCTGCACTTGATAAGAGGCTAGGTTGAAAATAAGCTCTATTCCAGTTTGTTTTTGATAACATTTTTACCATAGAACTGTTTATTTTTCAATATTTTTAATTGGAAGCAGTATTTGACCTGCTGCTACTGGTATATTGTGTCCTGAATGGGTATCTTTTGCACGTTGTACGCACGAAAATGAAAAAATAAAATAAAATATTGCACGATAACTTCATAATCCATCTCTTGTCTTTATTAAATGAAAATTCTAATTTTGCTGAAAGTGCCAAAAACAATGACATTAAGAATTTTGGTTGCTAAAAGACATTTTAATTGCAGACACGAAATTTGAATTTTGTCCTAAGCTAAGTGAGATATTTAACATCCCTTTATTTTTAAAGTAGAATATTAAAAGTGTCTGTGTTAGAGATGTATACTGATGATAAAATAACCAATATATTTATCTTTTTTTACCTTATGAATATAATACATGCTTATGCACACTTGCAATACAAAATATAGGCAGAATAATAAGAATTTTATAAAAGTAAAACATTACTTTAAGTTTTCTATCATAAAATTTGTGGTATACTTCCTACAACTTACAAATCTAATTTTTTTGTCGTTATTTCCATCTCCAATCTCTGTGGCTCAGTGATAAGATTTAGTGCTGATAACGCTAAAATTCGAGGTCCGATCAGTGCGATGGTAACAGCAAAGATAGACCATACAGGTTTGCGCTTAAAACAAATTAACAACTCTGACATTATATTAATTAAGTACATACAGTAGTATTTACTTGCTCGTAATATTATTTTAAAATGGCCACACAAGATGGCGCTACAAATTTAAAGTAACGAAATATTGCAGAAAGAAAGATCACGAGAGTGATAAGAAAATATGTGATCACAACTACCATGAACATAGCAATAACACGTCACTTTTAAACTTAGAGTTTAAATAGTCTATAGACATGTGGTAGTTTGGTCTGATTACTTTTTTAACAAAATGATTACATATAAGTGGACATTATTTTTTCAATCAAAGAATAAAGTAAATTTAAAAGTATTATTAGTAAAAATATATATTTGGAAATAAAACACTGATTTAAAGATGAAGAACTTATCTACAGTTTAAAGATCAAACAACAAGAATAAAATATTTTCTTTAACCAATAAATATTGTTAACACCAAAAACATGTAACGAAATATGATATTGTAATGCGTAATGATTCTGTTAAATATTTATATCATTTCCAAGCTCTACTAATGCTATAAATTTATAGCAATTTTTCCTTTCTTTTTTTTTTTAAAGAAGGAGTTACTAATTAAGACTTTAATGATAATCTAATTATTACATTTTTTTATTGGTGATGAGAGATATGTTTTAAGTTTAATAAGGAATCTAAAACTTGCAATTTCATAGGCACATAATAATTATAATATACATGTATTAAATATTATTTTACCTATGTATGTGTGTGTCTGTATTTCTGTGTTTCCTGCGTTTTTGTACTCCTTCTGCAATATTTTTAGAAAAGAACTGGCTTCTTTTGAAAGTAAACGAAGAAAAGCATTTTCGAAATGGCCATGAGGAGACTCCAAAAATGTAGGATTAAAGGGGTTTTACATTTGGTTGAACAAATGATTTGATTGTTGTAGTTAAGCACAAAACTATACAAAGGGCTATCTGTGCTCTGCCCACTACGGGTATCGAAACCCGGTTTCTAGCGTTGTAAGTCCGCAGACATACCGCTGTGCTACTGGGGGGGCAATGATTTGAAAATATGGAATTCATGTATATGTTGTTCCAAACAACAATTTTAATTTCATTTGAGGATATCTTCAAACTGAAGTTACCATATGGGGGTCAACAGGGTTAGGAGGGTGGTCTTAGGACAAGATTCACAAACGTACATGAAAATCGACATGGGCTTGTGCGAAATCGTTCAAAATATGTTTATGTTCATATTTTGAAATTTTCGCAATGAGGTTCCCAAGAGAGTTTTAGGGGGACTCTACGGATTGGCTGCGTATGTTAACATGAAAATTGAAAGGGGCGTCTAAATGGTTATTTAAACCAAGATTCTCATTTTACGTTCACGATATTTTTTACCTGAAAAATGTCTAGATCATTTTCAATAGCCGTTCCAAAAAAAAAGATGTTTAAGTTCTGTTATTGTTATTTTGCTTGTTTGTTTGTTTGTTTTATAGTAAAGCCACATTAGGCTATCTGTTGTGCCCACCTTGGGGAATCGAACACCGTATTTTAGCGTTGCAAGACTTACCGCTGTCATACCGGGGGACTTTTTTTTTGCGCAGTTATCAATTCCCGAGAATTTTCATGAGTAAATTGTGTTTTTGTACGTTCATTTTTTGTTAAGCACAAAACTGCACAATGGGCTATCTGTGCTATGCCCACCACGGGTATCGACCTCCGGTTTCTAGCATTACGAGTCTTCAGATTTGCCGCTGGTAAATTACTAGCTTATGAATAATTGCTTTCTCTGTACTCTGGTAAAAAAAAAAAGAAAGAAAAAGAAAGAAGGAAGAGGACGTTTTAAATCTTAGAGGTATTGACCGAGAAACTATTGAGGACAAGGACCTGGTATCTGAACACGATCGAAGTTGTACGATTTTTCACTGTTTAACTTGGTTTTCAATTACCTGAAACTTGCACAGCACAGAACTATTAGGAACATTGACCTTCTCGGACTATTGTTTACTTTAGTCGTAAAGCATTATATGTTTATTTTGAATTTCAAACTCCTTAGTCATAGACTGATCAAATAATTTTATAAATACATATATTCATAGGTGAGATAAGAAATGTTCAGTAATACGTCAGAGACAGCCCACGATACTCCCTAATGCTGAACGATCTGTGACATCGTCAGAAAAATATACTTTTAATTCACCAGTCTTAACTAATGAACAAAATGTTATGTAAAGGTAGAGCTATCTCGTTATCGTTGTACTTAAATTGTATATAACCACATCTACAATTAAGCCAGTTTATGATGTTGGGTGAACAACATGCTAAAAAATAAATAAAAAAACTTGTTATTGAGTCCCTTACACAAACATTTCATATATTGCATGTTTTTTTTTATATTTTGTGATACCTGTATGAAGTGTATAATAAATAATTTGAAAAAGGTACAATATAAGTATAAGTATAAGTTATGGTAGCAAGTGGGAAATTTGTTTGAGCAGCATTCTGATTAAACTGTTTGTTAGTGTATTTATACTACCGGAAATGGAACTGTTCCCTATCGCTCTGTAATCGGTGTGAAAAAAACAACCGATTATAACACAACAGCGCAAGGCTTCAGCTGAAGTCGCTATAAATTTTAATTTATTTGCATAACACTTATGTAGAAGCATGAACTAGTTTATTAACACTAACTCTGTCGCTTTAATTTGATACCTGTGGATTGGTTATACCAATATTTTCCATTCAAAAAGCCCCACTGTGGCTCAGCGGTAAGTCTGGGGCTTATAGGGCTAAAAATCGGGCTTCAATACTCACAGTGGGCAGAGCACAGATAGCCCATTATATAGCTTTGTGCTTAACAACAAAGTAAAAAAATCCATGCAAAGATACTGATGATATTTTTATACATTCATAAAAGGCTCTAGAGAAAACACTCATACAATGTTTTCTCCCTGACGTCGACGTTTTTGCTATGTTTGCCTGAGGTTTAAAAATACAAACAATACGGTATAAATAAAACCATATACATACGTTTTTGTGTGTGCATGTTTTCATTTACTTAGTGTCAATAATTCTTCTCACATTGAAAACAATGTTTCGCTGTGTTAGTTTGATAAAAGTATTTAATAGAAAGTTTTTCGTTTACTGTCTTACGCGTTTCATTTAACCTTTTTTTTTCTTTCAGCCTTGGGGGCGTTATAATGAGACGGCCAATCTCACTATTCGTTGGTAAAAGAGTAGCCCAAGAGTTGGCGGTGGGTGGTGATGACTAGCTGCCTTCCCTCTAGTCTTACACTGCTAACTTAGGGACGGCTAGCGCAGATAGTCCTCGTGTAGCTTTGCGCGAAATTCAAAAACAAAACAAAACAGAATCAAGTAGTAAACGATCAAAAACACGGTATAAAAGTTCTTCCATGTATAAGTAAAATCTTACTGAGTAAACGTTTAATTTCCTGAATATATTCCAAGATTAGTTATTTGGTTTTATGGTCTCAATCTCTCAATAAATAGATTTAACTGAATATGAAAATAGGCACTGACATTCATTCTGACTGACCATTTAGTGCATCAGCCTTTAAATGACATTTATTATTTAATAGAGTAATGGATTTTTATATCTTTATCTCCATTACTGGATGTTGTTGTTTAGCGCAAAGCTACACAAAGCTATTTGCGCTCTGTTTACCATGTGAAGCCTTACCATGGATTTTTAGCGTTGTAAGTTCGTAAACGTAATCCTGACACACCGGAGGATCCGCTAAGATATGGGAGTAAAATTATCTGGTAACTAGGAGGTTTAATTTAATGTTTCAATCGACGGTGATGTCTCATCTGTATTTTAGAAAATAGTTTGTTTGTTTTTTGTTTTTTGATATCGCGCAAATCTACACGAGGGCTATCTGCGCTAGCCGTTCCTAAGTTAGCAGTGTAAGACTAGAGGGAAGGCAGCTA